GCTGTTGTTGTTTCTGCTGCTGCTGCAGCTGCCGCTGCTGCTGTTGTTGTTGTCGTTGTTGTTGTTGGTGTCGTTGGTGTTGTTGGTGTTGCTGCTGCTGCCGATGCTGCCGATGCTGCTGTTGTTGTTGTTGTTGTTGTTGTTGTTGTTGTTGCTGGTGTTGTTGTTGTTGTTGATGATGTTGTTGTTGTTGTTGTTGTTGTTGTTGTTGCTGCTGCTGCTGCTGCTGCTGCTGTTGTTGTTGTTGTTGTTGCTGTTGCTGTTGCTGTTGCTGCTGCTGCTGCTGCTGTTGAATATTCATTGAATCGCTTCGCTCATTCCGCCGGCCCATATTGTAGCATCGCTGGCACTTGCTTGCGTGCTTGGGGGGGCATTTGGGGGGCATCCTGGGGCTGTTTGGGGGCCTACTGGCGGCCTCCAAAGGGCCTCGCGGGGGCATCTTAGGGCCTCTTGGTGGCCCCTTGGGGCCTCTTGGGGGCCTTTCGGGGGCCTCTTGGGCGCTCCAGGGGGCCTCTCGGGGCCGAGGCTCAAAATATCCATGCGGGTCTCCCGTCTGGACTCCCTCTTGGAGCCGTCTTGGGGGCCTCTTGGGCTGTCTTGGAGGCCTCTTGGGTCGTCTTGGGGCCCTCAGGGGCGGTTCTTGGGCCCTCTTGGGCGCCTCTTGGGCCGTCTTGCGGCGATCTTAGGGGCCTCTTGGGCCGCCTTTGACGTTGTGAAAGCTCAAGTCGCGAATATGCTAGAAATACACGTTTTGCTTAAGGTATGGGACGATGTTTGCCTCTTGGGGCCCTCTTGGGACGCCTCTTGGGGGCCTGTTGGGGCGTCTGGGAGCGATCTTGGGCGTCTTGAAGCGAGCGTGTGGCATCTCGGAGCACTCTTGAACCATCTTGCGGGGCTCTTGGCGGCCTCGCGGCCCTTTTTGGGGCTCTCTGGAGGGCCTCGAGGGCGGCGCCCAGGAGGAAAACCATCTGAGTCGGACCGCCCGGGAGCTTGCCGGGGTACTTTTCGCCCGGGGACTCCCAGGGGCCGCCCCGCACGCGCGAACTATAATATTGTTAACCAGTTACTGGAGATCTTAGCACGCCTCTGGCCCGTTGGGCCGGCGAATTGTTGACCCCCCTCTGGTAGCAAATGTATTTTTTCAATTGAAGTGCCCTTCTCGGTGCTCGCACCCTGTTTTACCAGGGGAAGTCTTCCTCCACAAATTGCGCCCCTGGCCCCCGAACTACAACAACAACGGCTCCCGCTTGATAATTTCTCAGAATTTATTCCCAACTCGCGCTCTCGCGGGGGACTTCCTCACAATTTATTCATGAGCCGCGCTCTCGCGTGGGATTTCCTGGCAATTTATTCAGACGCCTCGTCTTTGACATTCAGGAGTCACGCTCTCGCTGTGGATTTCCTTGCGATTGATTTGGGAATCGAGCTGTCGCTCGAGACTTCCTCGCGATCCATGCAGGGCGCACGCTTCAGCAACCCGCATGCTCGACCTGGCCGTCTGGGCCCTCCTTCCCGACCCGCCTGGTAGGGTCTACCCGCCCAGTCTGCCCGTCTGGTTCTGCTACGTGTTTTCTGCTCCTAGCCCCTCTCCTGCTATTTTCTCTCGTGCTCCATCCTCCTCCCTCCCCCTTGTCCCTTTCTTCCATCCGTCCTCTCTTTCCCTGCCTTAAGGGCTGCGCGAAATACACGTTGCAGGTAAGAGAGATACCCCCAAGGGGGCCAAGGGGGTACCGAACAGTATTAAACTTATTGTTGTTGCTGTTTTGTTGTTGGTGGTGCTGCTGTTGTTGTTGTTGCTGCTGCTGTTGCAGTTGTTGTAGTTGGTGTGGTTGTTGTCGTGTTCGTTGATGGCTCATTCCTAAAGAATAATATTGTTGATCTCCGGAAGCGGATCCTTGCGCTCTCGCCTCGACGCCGGCTACATTTTCTCTGAAAACGGGGCTCCCGCTCGAGCGTTGGCTTGAGTCTAAATGTGGGCCCTTGGAGGCCCAACTACGACAACAACGGCTCCCGTTCGACACCTCCTCACAATCTACCCCGACACACCCTGGCCAGAGAGGCCCCCGAACTCAGGAACGGCGCTCTCGCTCGAGACATTCTCGCAATTCAATTAAGTTGGCGGAGGCCCAGCTACGACGACAAGGGCTCCTGCTCGATACTCCCTCACGATTTACTCCGAGAGCCCCTGGCCAAGAAGGCCCCCGAACTCAGGAACGGATCTCTCGCTAGATACTTTCCCGTAATTCAGGCAAATTGGTGGAGGCGACAAGGGCCCCCCTTCGATATTTCTCCATAGGTATTCCGAGAGCCCCTGGCCAGAGAGGCCCCCGAACTCAGGAACGGCGCTCTCGCTCGAGACTTCTTCGCACTTCAGTCAGTGGCCGACAAGGAAGAGATTCCCCCCGAAAGGGGGTGCAATCGAAGACGAAGTGGGCGGGTATCGAGGGTTGAGGTATACGGAATGCATAGACATGCGTGCCAGTAAGAGCGAGCCGTCTTAAACTGATCGTCGTTGTTGTTGTTGTTGCTGTTGCTGTTGCTGCTGTTGCTGCTGTTGCTGTTGTTGTTGTTGCTGTTGTTGTTGTTGTTGTTGTTGTTGCTGTCGTTGTGGTTGAGTTTTGAAGCAAATGTTTTTGATCCATCTCGTTGTTTCTTTCAACATCTGCATGCAGCATGCCCGACCTAAGAGTATGTACTCAGGGTGGGATATATATATGTATATATATATATATATATATATATATATCGAGGGGTGGGCGACTACCCTTCCGACGGAGCTTGCCCATCCCTTCCCCCCTCCTCCTCCTCCTCCTCCTCCTCCTCCTCCTCCTCCTCCTCCTCCTCCAACCCCCCCTCCACCCGTTCCGACAGCACGTGCCCAACCCCCCGGGCGGATCCAAGGTGGGGGGCGATGACTGCCCCAGCCGGAGCACTTTCTGCGAGTAGTGGGACGCCCTTGTCTCTTCGCGCGCGGCCGCGGGGGCGCGCGGCCCCGAGGGGCCGCGCGGGCCTGCCGAGGGCGCCCCCCCCGCGCGGGGCCGCCGTGCCACGGCGGCAGGGCTTGGCGCCGCGCTGGGCGCCGCGCTAGGCGCGGGCGCGCCACGGGCGCCGCGCGCGCGGGCGGCGGGGGCGCGGCGCCGGCGGGCCCTGGCCACCGAGGGGAGGACCAGGTGCTCTCCCTGAGATCCTGGCGTTCCGTTTTTTTCACACTGGGCGTTTCCGCTCCATTTCGGGCCCTGGGACCTTCACATATCGATCCAGCTCGAAAAATGACGCAGAATGATGGGGTCCAGGGCTCTGGTCACGATTTTTTGAAATGTTTTTTTTTTTTTTTTTTTTTTTTTTTGTTTTTTTTTGCAACGGCAGATCTCAGGGTATGCTGGGCGCACATGGGGGTAGAGGCAGAGGGAAGGTTAGACGCACCCTGCTTCTCAGAAGACGCGGGCCCTGTCTGTGCATGTAAGGCCGGGGCTTTCTCAGAAGCCGCCTCCTGCTAAGAAGCCTCCCCCCTCCCCCTACCCGTAGCGGGCGAATAACGGTATCAAACACTCTGTTCCGTCGTAGGGGTATCATTTTTCCAGCCGCCGGGGGGGCAGGCGTCCCGACGGCGGAGCAGTTTGTTTGATGCCGTTCTTCGCCCGGTAAGGGTTGGGGGAGGGGGGAGGCTTCTCAAGAGGAGGCTGCTTCTCTGAAGGCGCGGGCCTTACATGCATAGACAGGGCCCGCGCCTTCTGGGAAGCAGGGTGCTTCTAAGAATCCTTCCACCTGCCCCTTTCCCCTTGTGCGCGCCGCCGACTACAGCTCCGCTGAGGTAATCGCATTTCTTCCCTCAGCGGGAGATTTTGCTCCGCTTTGGGCCGGGGACTCATGGGTCGGTCTGGCTCGACGAGAGATGCAGAAAGACGGGATCAAGGGATCAGCCAGGCGACGTCGGGTCTCCAGGGAAGGTATGCCGATGCTGCTACCCCCCGTCGTCGCCATCGCTGGATTCACTTCGGAATCCTGTGTAGAACGCGCCTCGGGAGAGGTCCAAGCAGCGGCGGATTAACGCTGTCTCTGTCATTCCCCAGGTCACGGGCGCCAACTCGGGGATCGGACTCGCCGCGGCCACGGAGCTGGCGCGCAGGGGGTGGGAGGTGGTCCCCGCGTGCCGCACGCCAGAGAAGGCTGCGGGGGCGGCGCGGGACAGATCGAGGAACAGAAACAGGCAGAACCACAAACTCTCGGCGCTCCGAGCGGATTTCCCCCCCTCCCCCTTCCTCCCCCTCCCTCCCTCCCCCCCTCTCCCCCTCTCCCCCCTTCCCCCCCCCCCTGGATCGGCGCTGGACCTCCCCCGCCATGGCGCGCGGAGCGTACCCGCCCGGGGAGACCCAGCGCCGACCCAGAAGAGCAGCGCGGAGCTCCGACTTTTTGTGCTCGTGCTTCTTGTTTGCCCTTCCTCGAGACATCGAGGAGCAGGTGCTCGCGGGCGAGCCGGGCCGGACGAAAGGGTGGGATTGGGAAAGGGGGGGGTACGAAATTTGCTGCATGCTGGTTTCGGCCCCGCCGCCGGGCCCATCCCTCGATACATGGGCGCCCCCTGGCGCTGGGAGGCGCCGGGAAAATCAGCTGCGTGAGCTGATTCTCAACCCCCCCCTTTGCTATCCCCCCCTTTCGCCCGACCCGAGCGAAGAAGCACATGTCACGTATCCGTATCCGCGGTTTCGCGGGCCAGGCCCAGGCCCCTGGGCCGCGACCCCGCGGATACGGGGCGATTTTGCGCGGATGTTTCGCACGGAACGTATCCGCGCGACCACGCGACCGCGGGATCGCGCCCCGGAATCCAGACTGCGAGGGCACGGATACGGACATGTTCGCCGCTCGTGAGGTGCCCGGGGCCGCCGTCCGCTGCCTGGAGGCGCGCTGCGAGCTGGCCGATCTGAGGTCCGTGGGCGGCTTCGGGCGGGCCGTGCGCGAGCTGGGCGGCCCAGTGGATGCCCTGGTACTGAACGCGGGCGTGGATGGGGCGCCACTGCAGCGCACCGCGCAGGGCCAGGATCTCAGAAGAGGAGAAGGTAGTTACATCTTTACCCTTGCCTCGTTTTTTTCCCAACCCTCCTTGGTTGGGTATTCGTTTTGAATCGTGCATTTTGCTCCGTTCTTCCTCCTTCCCGCCTCCCTCCTGCCTCCTCCTGTCTTGCCTCGTGGGGGGGGGGCTGCGATCTGTGAAACTGTCGCCGCTTTCGAGGGCTGCTGGGGGGGTCCAGCACAGTGACGTCTTACGCAGATTCAAACGGGACCTCGCCATCCCTGGGGGGGCTGCGATCTGTGAAACAGTCGCCACTTCTCGAGGCCTGCTGGGGGGTCCAGCACAGCGACGTCCTACGCATATTCAAACGGGACCTCGCCATCCCTGGGGGGCAGCGATCTGTGAATATGTCGCCACTTGCGAGGCCTGCTGGGGGGGGTCCAGCACAGTGACGTCCTACGCAGATTCAAACGGGACCTCGCCATCCCTGGGGGGCAGCGATCTGTGAATATGTCGCCACTTTCGAGGGCTGCTTTGGGGTCTAGCACAGTGACGTCTTACGCAGATTCCAATTCGAACTCGCCATCCCTGGGGGGCTGCGATCTGTGAAACTGTCGCCGCTTTCGAGGGCTGCTGGGGGGGTCCAGCACAGTGACGTCTGACCTCGCCATCCCTGGGGGGCTGCGATCTGTGAAACAGTCGCCACTTTCGAGGCCTGCTGGGGGGGCCAGCATAGTGGGGCCCCGCGGCGGACTCAAATGGGACCTCCCATATGCTGGTCGCAGAAATGCATACGTCCATGTTTCGTCATCCCCCCTTATGAAGTCGCCCAAGCTACTCATGCCCCGGATTGCGCAGGGTTTGGGTACGTCGCCAGGGTACTTTATTGTTTTTATTACGAAGGTACGGCTGGTGCCGCCGCCCCTGAAGACGACGAAGATGAAAACGAGCGGGGGGGGGGTATGAGGCCACCCCTTAACCTCGCCGATCAACGGTTTGGGCTTGGCATCGTTTGGATGAGTGTGTTTTTCCTTGCGAGGCCAGCGCCTGAAAATCTGGACCGTCTAGGAGCATCGTGGATCACCTTGGGGAAGAAGGCGCGCGAAACCGACAAATGCCTGGGGAGTGGACGTCCGAGCGATGGCAAGTCGGCAACTCTAAGGCCAGAAGGCAGGGGCCTCCGAGAAGGCAGGGGCCTTCTGAGGCAGAGGCTTCTCATAACCGGTTGCCAACACAGTGGCATGAACATCATTTTTCGGAGGTCCGCACGGACTTCTCGGATCGGCGCTGGACCTCCCACCCTGGCGCGTGGAGCGCGCCAGGTCCAAGAAATCCACGTGCTCCGAGGAATGATGCTCATGCAGCGTTTTGTTATTCGAGAGAAGACTTCTGAGAGGTCGGGCGGGCTCCGAAGAAGCCCTACTGCCTTCTCTGAAGCCCACCTCCCTCGCGCCACCTCGCTGTGGGCGCCGCCAACAGGAGTGGCACTTCGGCGTCAACCATCTGGGGCACTTCGCGCTCTACCGGGCCGTGCGCGGCCTGCTACCCCAGGACTCGAATGCTGACCTCTGGGCGTTGCATCTTCTCTCAACGGGCAATCTTGCCCAGTCTCGGGACCCAGATCATCCCAGATCGATCCAGCTCGAAAGATGCTGCAGAGAGATAGGGCCGCGGGTTCCGGGCGAGACTTCTCGCGCTGTTGTGTTTTTGTTCGCAGCGTTGGATCTCAGAGGTGCGCACTGCATGGGCATGGATTTTTGGAGGTCCCCGCGTATTACTCGGGCTTGCGCCGGACGCAGCGAGGCGGCGCGCGCCAGGGGAGGGGGGACCCAGCGGGGTCCGTCACCGACCCAAGAGAGATCCGCACGGACTCCAGGAAGTGCCTCTCGAGCCGTCGCGCCGACGCCGTCAGCATCCAGCCGCGGTTCCACCTGGTATCAGGCCCGAGGAGGGAGGAGGGAGGAGTGAGGAGTGAGGAGAGGGAGGATGGGACTCCTCCTCCTTTCTCCTCTCTCCTCTCTCCTCTCTCCTCTCTCCTCTCTCCTCCTCCTCCTCCTCCTCCTCCTCCTCCTCTCCTCCTCCTCCCTCCTCCTCCTCCTCCTCCTCCTCCTCCTCCTCCTCCTCCTCCTCCTCCTCCTCGCGCGCGATCCAACTACTCCAGTCTCTGGCTGCCGAGCACACGCAGCCTCCCCGAAGGTCTGCCAGGCCAGACACACAAAACCTGGACTCGGCCAGCCTCGGCCAGTACCAGAAACAGCTACAGAATTGACAGGAGGAAAAGGCGGAGGAGGAGGAGGAGGAGGACCCTCTCCAGCACTCCAGCGTATCGCGCTGAAGAGCAGATAGTGCTGTCCTTGTCGCTGCCTTCTTGTATTTGTTCTTACTACTCTTATGTATATGTATGCATGCATGCATGCATGTATGCATGTATGTATGTATGTATGTATGCATGCATGCATGCATGTATGCATGTATGCATGTATGCATGTAGGTAGGTAGGTAGGTAGGTAGGTAGGTAGGTAGGTAGGTATGTATGTGTGTATGTATGTACGTATGTATGTATGTATGTATGTATGTATGTATGTATGTACGTACGTATGTATGTATGTATGTATGTATGTATGTATGTATGTATGTATGTATGTATGTATGTATGTATGTATGTATGTATGTATGTATATAGGTATTTCCTGTTTATACTGCTACTTATTATTATTGTTGCTCTTCTTCTTCTTCCTCCTAGGACTCCTGGGTCGGCGTGGATTTCTCGGGTCGGCGCTTGACTTGCCTTGGCGGCGCGCGCCAGGGGGAGGGGTGTCCAGGGTCCAGCAAGGTCTGGCGCCGACCCAGGAGATCCGCGCGGACTCCCGAAAGTGCATATTTTGGACGCTGCTTATTCTTCGGAGGAGGACTCCCGGGTGATCTCCGTCACCTCCTCGGCGGCCCTCGACGCCGAGCTCGTGCTCGATGACCTCGCCTGGGAGAGGCGGGAGTACGGGCGGCATGCCGCGTACAGCACCTCCAAGGCGTGCAACGTGCTCTTCGTGGACGAGCTGGCCCGGCGGGAGGGCGTGCGCGCCTAGTCCCGAGGAAGAGAGCACGGCATACGCGTAAATTCTTGGAGATTCGGGCGGGTGGCATTTCGGGGTGGCCTACAATGGGGGGTGAAGAACAGGACCCTGAAGAGGCCCCTTTCGGGCTAGTTTTTCCACCCCCCATTTTGGTCACCCCCTGTTACCAACCGCCCGAGATGTCCGCGCGGACCCTGTGCATCGGCGCTGGGCCGCCGGGCCCCCCTCGGCGCCGGGGGCGGGGGCCCAGCGCGGACTCCAGAAGCCACCGCGGAGCTCCGCGAGTTTGTGCTCGTGCCGTGGTGTCTTCCTCCGTATGTCGGGCCGAACGAAAGGGGGGGATTGGGAAAGGGGGGGATTACGAAATCTGCTGCGTGCAGCTGGTTTCGGCCCCTCCGAGGGGCCCATCCCTCGATACATAGCCGCCTCCGGCGCCGGGAAAATCAGCTGCGTGAGCTGATTCTCAAACCCCCCCTTTGCTATCCCCCCCTTTCGCCCGACCCGAGTATGCCGTGGACCCAGGGCCCACCGCCTCGGCGATCGTGCGGTACTCGTACCCGCAGCGCGCGGCGCAGCGGCGCCAGATGACGCCGGAGGCGCTCGCGCGCCAGGCCCGGATGCTGCGGCTGAAGACGCCCGCGCAGGCGGCGGAGGGCAACGTCGATCTAAGCTTAAGTCGGGCCTGTCCCTCTACAGGGGGAATATTCAAAAATAGTAAAAAAAATAGTCTGGGAAGATTTTTTGATTATTTTTGGGCATATCGTATTATTGTTTGTCTATTTTGCAACATTTGTCGTCCAAAATCCGACTGTAGGGGGCCACGCCCGACTTCGATCTAGGCCTCCCAGGTGGGGTCGAATTAGGTGGGGTCGGGTCGCGCCGCATCGCCACCACATTGGTGATTCGTCTCGATGTGGAGCCTGATTTTCTCCACGCCGACGTCTCCGATGCATCGACGATGCGGCGCGATCCTCCGACCCCATCTACTCCGATCAGATCTGGGAGGCCTTCAGTTAGGGGGCGATACGCTCAGGGGGGTTGCATCGGCCCCCAATCGCCCATTCATCGCCGATGGGGGCCCGATAGCCCACCGCGCCCAGGACCGTGCGGATCCGCTGTCGGGGGCCTATCGCCAATCTGTCGGCAGTGTATCGCCGATTCCAGCTTGTCGCTCCCGCCCCGAGTCGGTCCCCCCCTGACGTTCCCCCTCAGCAGGCGGCAGAGGGCCTCGTGTGGCTGGCGGAGGCCCCAGAGGCCATGGGGCTGAGCTCGGCGGCGCGCGGGGGGGGGCCCTCAGGGGTCGAGGGGGGTCCCAGGCGTCGTTGCGCCGTGAAAGTCGTTGGCGAAATCTGAACCCTACCCTCGCCGATCAACGATTCAGGCAACTCGATGGGCGGGGGGGGTAGGGTTCGGAATTCGGCGAGCATGTAGCGAAATCAGAACCCTACCCTGGCCTCCCATCGATTCGGGAGTATCGATGGTCGGTGAGGGCAGGGCCAGGATGTCGCCACCTAGCACTACATTCAGTCATTAGTGTTTCATACATCTTCGGACTCCAGGGGGCCTCGCTGGGCCTCGCGAGCGTCAACGATCGGCCCCAGGATGAACATCTGGTCCCCCCGGAAGGGGTCCAGACCACTGGTCGGCGGCGAGCCTGGTGGGGAAGTGAGAAGGAGAAGGCCTTCTCAGAAGGCGGCGGGACTTCTCAGAAGCCCTCGCGCCTTCTGAGAAGTTTTCTGTGTCTTCGGGGAAGGCGTAGAAATCTTCCCAGAATGCTGGGGGGACGTCCGAGCCTTCTGAGAAGGCCTTCTCCTTCTCGCTTCCCCCCCTCGCTCGCCGTCGGACTGGGGAGCCGCGCCGCCGATGACCACGACGACGCCCTTTTGGAGAGGCCTTACGGCCAGTGCCGCCGACCCTGAACGACGACGACGACGACGACGACGACGACGACGACGCCTGGGGTGTCGCCGCGCAGCTCTTGGCAGGGCGCGGCAGTTGGCCCCCCCCCCAACAGACCGTGGCAGAGGCAGCGGGGCGCCCAGGGAGCACGCCCCAGCGGGACCCTATACACGGGCAGGCCGGCGGAGAACCGGCTGCCCGGACCCCCTCGCGCTCTGAAGAACTCACGACGGGAGGTGCTTCGCTGTCTTCGGCCTCCGGGGGGGCCCTTCCTGGGCCTCGGGACCGTTGCAAGAAACGACTCGGGGCGAAACGCCAGTCCCGGGGAAAGGGCCCAGACCTCCTGGGGTTCGACGCGGTGAAGTAGTCACGACGTCGGGGGTCCGGGTGGGCGGAGCCGGTGGGCGGAGCTGGCGGGCGGGTCGGCGCAACCAGCCGGGCGAGGCCGGCGTCGGCGCAACCAGCAGGGCTCTTTTCGAATCATCCGATTCGTTTCGGTTCGATTTCGATGGCTTCCGATTCCGATTCGATTCGACTTTGGTTGCCGGTGTGGATTCCGATTTTTCAATATGGAGGTCTACTAGCCTGCCGATTTCTGCCGATCCGACATCTCCTGATTCGGCTGCCTATTTCCGCCGATCCGATTCAATTCGATCGCCGATTCTACTTCTAGATTCGATTCTGGGCTCTCCTGACCCAGCCGGGTCGGCGCAACCAGCTGGGCGAGGCCGCGGGCGGGACCAGCAGGCGAGGGGGGGGGGGGCGGGGGGGGGGCGGCCCTGTGAGAGGTGGCCCCGCCTCCCAGAGGCCCTCGTCCTGCCTCGGGCCCTCCGATTCCTGATTCCTGGGTCCTGAACGTCGTTCCGGGGCCTTTCCCCCGCCCGGGTCGGTCGGCCCCGGAGGGCCCTCGCAGGGGGTGATCAAGCTGGGGCCACGGGCTCTCTGCTGGGTCTTCTGAGGAGCTTGCCCATCCGAGTGGGGCCCCTCGGCCCTCTCGGAGGGGTGCCCCCCTCGCCCTGGCCCCCCGACCAACATCCCAGGTGCTCGTGCCGGCGACCTTCCTTGGGCCCGCCCGCCTGACGGATCTGTTCGACTCCAGCTCGTCTCTCGACTCTAGCTCGACTCAAATTCAGCCCAAGTTCGGATCAAGTTCGACTCGAGTCGTTGGAGATCGGTTCGACTCCAGTTCGACTCAAGTTCGTCTCTCGACTCTAGCTGAACTGAGATTGAACCCAAGTTCTGCTCAAGTTCGACTCGAGTCGACGGACGTTCGACGCAGCATCGGTGTATTAGTGGCGCCAGTGGCTCCAGGGAGGTCTCCACAACGAGCATCTAAAACATCCGCTCGGAACCAGTCCTGGGACTCCTCCTGGGGTCAGTGTCGCCGCCTGGTCGCCGCCCGTCGTCTGGAACGGTGCGTCGGTCCGGCGGCTATGTTGTCGCCGTCGCCGCCCCGTCGCCGCATCGTCCCCGCCCTCATGATTGCACACCACAAGGTTGCACGATGCACAGATTGTGCACCACATAGGTTGCTCAGCACTTAGAGTACAACATATGTTTCACCCCATAAGTTGCACAACATCGACTGCACCACATATATTGCGCAACATGGATTGCACCGAATGTATTGTACCACGTACATTGCTCTTCATGGACCACATAAGAACAACATTCGATTGCACAACATGCCTTGCACTGGATACCTATACGACCATCCTTCGGGTGATAAGGAGGTTGTGGGCGGGGGAGGGGAGGGGAACCAACATCTGACTCAATCGATCTCACTATCGATCTCACTCAACGGGACACCACGGTACGCCACGGGACATTTGTCGATCTCACTATCGATCTCACTATCGATCTCACTCAACGGGACACCACGGGCCACCACGGGCCACCACGGGACACCGCGGGAGACCGCGGGACATCTCTCGATCTCAGCATCGGTCTCACTACCGATCTCATACGAGCACTACTGCTGAAGCCTGTGCGGCTTCGAATTTACTTAACAGCGAAGACTGATAGGTTCCTAGTGGTCTCAAAAGAGAGCATCATGACTCCCCAGGGGGGTCTGGGCAGATGCCGGACGGGTGCCGCGGAAAACCGGGGATTCCTTTTTTAGCCAACTGTAGGCCACTTCGTGGTCTTCGAGTTCCCAGAACTCCATTCCTGGGCATGATTTTGAATGCCCGGAGCCAACTGTAGGCCACTTAGTGTTGTTCGAGTTCCCAGAACTCCATTCCTGGGTATGATTTTGAATGCCCGGAGCCAACTGTAGGCCACTTCGTGTTCTTCGAGTTCCCAGAACTCCATTCCTGGGCATGATTTTGAATGCCCAGAGCCAACTGTAGGCCACTCAGTGTTGTTCGAGTTCCCAGAACTCCATTCCTTGGCATGATTTTGAATGCCCAGAGCCAACTGTAGGCCACTTCGTGGTCTTCGAGTTCCCAGAACTCCATTCCTGGGCATGATTTGAATGCCCGGAGCCAACTGTAGGCCACTTCGTGGTCTTCGAGTTCCCAGAACTCCATTCCTGGGCATGATTTTGAATGCCCGGAGCCAACTGTAGGCCACTTCGTGTTCTTCGAGTTCCCAGAACTCCATTCCCGGGCCACATTTTGAATGCTGAGGCAGGCTGATGCTGAGGCTGAGGCAGGCTGAGGCTGAGGCACGCTGAGGCTGAGGCCGAGGCTGAAGGCAGACTGAGGCTGAGGCTGAAGCAGGCTGAGGCTGAGGCTGAGGCAGGCTGAGGCTGAGGCTGAGGCAGGCTGATGCTGAGGCAGGCTGAGGCTGAGGCTGAGGCTGATGCAGGCTGAGGCTGAGGCAGGCTGAGGCTGAGGCCGAGGCTGAAGGCAGACTGAGGCTGAGGCTGAAGCAGGCTGAGGCTGAGGCTGAGGCTGAGGCTGAGGCTGAGGCAGGCTGATGCTGAGGCAGGCTGAGGCTGAGGCTGAGGCTGATGCAGGCTGAGGCTGAGGCAGGCTGAGGCTGAGGCCGAGGCTGAAGGCAGACTGAGGCTGAGGCTGAAGCAGGCTGAGGCTGAGGCTGAGGCAGGCTGAGGCTGAGGCTGAGGCAGGCTGAGGCAGGCTGAGGAGGCTGAGGCTGAGGCAGGCTGAGGCTGAGGCAGGCTGAGGCTGAGGGCTGAGGCTGAGGCCAGGCTGAGGCTGAGGCTGAGGCTGAGGCTGACTGAGGCTGAGGCTGAGGCTGAGGCTGAGGCTGAGGCTGAGGCTGAGGCTGAGGCTGAGGCTGAGGCAGGCTGAGGCTGAGGCTGAGGCTGAGGCTGAGGCGAGGCTGAAGGCAGACTGAGGCTGAGGCTGAAGCAGGCTGAGGCTGAGGCAGGCTGAGGCTGAGGCTGAGGCAGGCTGATGCTGAGGCAGGCTGAGGCTGAGGCTGAGGCTGATGCAGGCTGAGGCTGAGGCAGGCTGAGGCTGAGGCCGAGGCTGAAGGCAGACTGAGGCTGAGGCTGAAGCAGGCTGAGGCTGAGGCTGAGGCAGGCTGAGGCTGAGGCTGAGGCAGGCTGAGGCTGAGGCTGAGGCAGGCTGCTGAGGCAGGCTGAGGCTGAGGCTGAGGCTGATGCAGGCTGAGGCTGAGGCAGGCTGAGGCTGAGGCCGAGGCTGAAGGCAGACTGAGGCTGAGGCTGAGCAGCTGAGGCTGAGGCTGAGGCTGAGGCAGGCAGGCTGATGCTGAGGCAGGCTGAGGCTGAGGCTGAGGCTGATGCAGGCTGAGGCTGAGGCAGGCTGAGGCTGAGGCCGAGGCTGAAGGCAGACTGAGGCTGAGGCTGAGGCTGAGGCTGAGGCTGAGGCTGAGGCTGAGGCTGAGGCTGAGGCAGGCAGGCTGAGGCTGAGGCTGAGGCAGGCTGAGGCTGAGGCAGGCTGAGGCTGAGGCTGAGGCTGAGGCTGAAGGCTGAGGCTGAGGCTGAGGCAGACTGAGGCTGAGGCTGAAGCAGCTGAGGCTGAGGCAGGCTGAGGCTGAGGCTGAGGCTGAGGCTGAGGCTGAGGCTGAGGCTGAGGCTGAGGCTGAGGCTGAGGCTGACAGGCTGAGGCTGAGGCTGAGGCAGGCTGATGCTGAGGCAGGCTGAGGCTGAGGCTGAGGCTGATGCAGGCTGAGGCTGAGGCAGGCTGAGGCTGAGGCCGAGGCTGAAGGCAGACTGAGGCTGAGGCTGAAGCAGGCTGAGGCTGAGGCTGAGGCAGGCTGAGGCTGAGGCTGAGGCTGAGGCTGAGGCTGAGGCAGGCTGAGGCTGAGGCTGTGACTGCGACTGCCGTTGCCACTGCGACTGTCATCGCGAAAGCGACCACGACTGCGAGAACAGCAGAATTCTACAACTTGATTCTCATCTGAATCTTAAGGGGAATGCTTCCAGATATGCTCCTACACATCGCTGTTAGGTTGCTTTGCTGGGATAATTGTTGGAATTCTTGTGCAAGATTGTGGCAACCTGC